CCACCATACAGAATGATTTCAATTCAAAGGCAATGACAACTTTACCTGTACATACTGGAACAGTGGCTGTCCATTGGCCAGTGTGGTCACAGATGATGTGGTTCTGCCCAATCAGTTCGTAGCCTTCATCACAACTGAACTCGCAGGTCGAGTTGTAGCTGAAGGCTGCAATGGGGTGGCTGCAGTTCGTGCTACTCGCACTGAAGTTGGTGTATTTCAAATTGGGACACTGTGCAACTATGATAAGCAGTCAAAATATGTTTTGTAACTTTGCCATTTGAAATATCAGTTTTTAAAAACAGCTGGTTTCCTGTTGCCGTACCTTGACACAGAGGAACAGGGTGGTTCCAGAGCCCATTGGCTTGGCAAATCAGTCGAGGCGCGCCTATTAACCGAAATCCAACTTCACAGAGAAAATGGCAGGAAGAGTTAAAATGATTCGACCCGTAGGGATTAGAACAGCGGTGAGAGCCTTGATCTGGATGCGGAAAAGGTTTGCATGTGATCGCTGGAGATAAAACAAATAAAAATTAGTTCATGTCTTTTGTTTAGGTTGGCAAAAATATCTTTAACAATTGTCAGTAGGCTAAAACTAAAATACAGAAGTTCCTGAGGAACAAATGAGGGACAAATTAATAACAATCTAACCCTAAATGGACTGCTACGGTGAGGTGCCATTCAGATATAAAACGAAGACTTAAAGATGGTCAATATTATTCAAAATCAATCACTTGTTATGGGGAATCTTGTGGCTGAGTTGTCAAGTAACTTCATTAAATAAGTCTGAGGTGGTCAGAATGAAATATCAGGCTAATCCCGGCTGGTTATTTTAATTTAATAGTTGTATATTTGGATTGCATATTGCAATATTCTACAGCTCTTATTAGCTTACCCTCTTCACAGCGTAGGCCTCGGAAACCAGGATGGCACTTGCAGATGTGGCTTCCAATGCTTTCCACACAGTCTGCATGAGCACTACAAGACTCGTGTTTGCAAGAGGCTGCAAATCACACAAAAAGTGTCAGATGCTGTATTACATTTACTGCCAAAGTTATATTAAAAGTATCCTACCGGTGTAGCAGACGGCTCCTTTCAACTTATCGCAGTTCTCATTGTTCCACTTGGCTGTGTCTCTCGCCCTCTTAATGTATATCTCCACACAGTCCTGACGGGGTATGGTATCTGGCTCTGCTGATGCCCAGTTTTGAGCCTCTTCAGGTACACTCTGACTGGTGTTTACTGAGGTCCACGATCCAGCCACTCTGTGAATCCCTATCCAGTAATATTTTGGATTAAATGGTAGCAGATCATTGAGGAAATTGGTCTCCTCTTGGTTCTGAATGGCAACCATATCCGTGAAGAACTTCTGGCACCACTTGCGAGCCTCGTACCAGTTCTGGTTTGGACCAGTGCTGTAGTTGTATGTCCATGCCTGTGCACCTCCTTTCCTACTACTCAAGTCTAAAAATGTAGCATAAGGACAGTAAGATAAATGTGGACTGGTGAGGAAAAGTGTTTGGTGTGTGTGTTACGCAGGCTTACCTACAGCAAACACAATCAGCGTAGCTATCAGCGTAGCTATCAGCGCGTTACAATGCGAGTTTTGTCTTACATCAACTGACATCTGAAATACAAAGAAAAGCAACTGAGAACGACACGTGGCTGCCATATGTGAGAATGAAGGTGCAGTATCGATTTCTATAGGTATGAATGAACAGCCGTTACGTGTCTTACCTTCTGAGCCGTCTTTAGTTACTAATTCTTGGCATTTAACTCTCACCTCTTCAGTAAATGGCAAAACAGTATTATCTGTCCTCCAGGGACTGAGCCAACGTCCAATTTTGTAATATCATTTGTACCACAGCTTCCTTTCAGGAAGGGTTTCACTCAACCACTCGCAGCACTCTCCACGCACGCATGCACACATCCAAAGATAATTATATATTCACAAAAAGACATGCAGACACAGTCACTAAAACATTATTTTTATTCACATTTACATTTCAAAGCAATTTACAAGAATGCGGCACACGTGTCTGAACCATACCATGATGACAAACCCTCGAATATACACAATTACATAATTTATAAGTATGCAACATATCAAATGTAACTTTTACAACATATTAGGCAAAAGCCTTAGCTGACTGATATTTGAATCAGCATCCAGTGCATGATGCAAGGAGACCAGTGAACTGTCTTGGTGTCAAATCTATTCTAATTAAGACGTGGGACGTTGTTTACGGTTGTGTATCACAGGGTGGACTTCCTTCTTCGGGCAGCCTGTGCAGGACAGAACAATGTTCTTAGATTTTCAAAAAAATTCTTTGAATACTAAGTTAGCAAAGGCTGTGAGAAAGGGTGGAGCAGCTTAAGACAAACGTTTAATTTCAACACTGACCTTTCTTGGGAAAGTTTCTTTCCTGTGAGAAACAGAGAAATGGATTACTTTTGAGGGGTGTTGCAATAAGATTGCAGTGAATCTTTTATTTGTATAGAGAGTAGTTGAGAGTGACTGACTTTGTCTGTGTTTTATGCAACAAAAACAGATGCAGCAGAAGGTAGAGAGGGCTCCACATCCAGCTAAAGCCAACAGAGCCTGTTTATAGCCTGGAAGAGAGGGGAAAGCAATTTTTACCATTCAGTTATATATTATAGCACATCATTCATGTACATGTCAAAACTACTGCTTTCCATCAAAAGAGTTACTGGAAGCTCAGTTCTGATGGCAAAGAAACTATAAAAACCATACATGAAATGGCCGGCTGCCATATTTAATGTTTAATAACATTTTACAAACATTTACATGATTTTTTTTTAAATTACTTGTACAAGTAGGTCTTGGGCCACTCCAGACTCTGGTCTCTCCACAAGTGACAGCTGGTGAGCCAATCACGAGGAAGCCAGGGTCACACTTAAAATGACAGGTTGTC